GAGAGAGAGAGAGAGAGAGAGAGAGAGAGAGAGAGAGAGAGAGAGAGAGAGAGTTCAATTCCAATGCTTTGTATCTTTCCGAGATGGTCTAACCAACCTTTTCTTAATAAGCCTGTGAAGAAAAAAACTGAATTTTTAAAAAATCTTCAACGTCATCTGTTTTTTTTTTTTTTTTTTTTTTTTTTTTTTTCTTTTTTTTCAGAGACAGACTCGGTCTCGGTCTCCATCACCTCGCCAACCACCCTAGCTTTAGCCAGTCTGAGCCGCGATTTCGTACTTTTTGATTACACGTTACATGCCGGATCTGTCGAAGTGAGCATCGGCCATGAAACAATCACAAACCCGATATCGGACATGGTCGTCACGATAGACTCTGGAGATCCGATGCAGCAGTGGACATTCCCCTCGTTCAATCCTGGTCAAAAGCAAGTTATAACTTATACAACTCCCGGGCTCTATAACGTGAATGTCACATTCACCGCGTTTGGGCTCAACAAAGTTGTGACGCTGCCGGTAAGAGTTGGGCTTCTGGACTTTTATATTGTTGGCCGACCTACTTTTGTCAAGATAGGAGAGGAAGTTGTCTTTGAACTTGTCAGATACGACACAAACGGATCGTTGACGGTTAATGTTACCTACCAACCTAATGACAGTCAGCTTGTCGAGATGGCCGATGGGGTTGATAAAATGGAGCTGCGGGAAACGTACTCAGTTATCAGCCCTTACCGCGCTAGCGCACAGATCAGCGAGGACGATGAGGAGGAAGAAGTCGTGTACAGATTTGAAACGTACGGGCCCTGCATCTCCACTCACGATTTGTTCGACACGACATATAGATCCGAGGATACCCCAATGCCTGCTCTGCTTTCCGCTATTCCTTCCATCTCAGGTCGGGCTCAGCTAACCGAGTCGTGCGCCGAAGGAAGTGTCTTGCAGTACTACTGGTGGCTGTGGAAAAACACGGCAACGCCCCCTTCCTTCGCGTGGGAAGAAGTGACTATACACCAACCCGAGGCGGTGAATTTAGTGGTGGGAAACTTCATCACTTCCGAAGGCTTGTACAGGCTGAAGTTAAACGCCTCGGTAAAGGACAGTCGGGATTTCGTGGAAGATATCATGCATCTAAGTGTACGTCTGCCTGATCTAGTGGCGAAAATCTCCGGCGGAGATCAGCAGCAAAAGAAGATTGGTTCTCTGGTTGCTATGGACGCCGCCTTGTTGTCCTACGACCCAGCCGACAGAGAGGCCGGGGGAACTGGTCTGAACTACGCGTGGGCGTGCTATCTATTGGATTCGGCTCAAGACATCACGAGGTATTTGAGCACTTATCAAGACGACAAGAGCTACAAAAGCCTCCGTGCGTGCCCCGGACAGATCTCCAGTACCTCGGGAAGTTTCAATGTGGACACAGGCGTCTTCACAGTCAACGATATCGCGCTGTTTGAGGTGGAGGTGTCAAAAGGTGGCCGCTCGACCGTGGACGTGCAGGTTCTTGAGATCTTGTTGGAGCAGCCACCAGACTTTAATCTCTTGTGAGTTGATTTTTTTCATATTCATTTTTAAAAGATTACTTCACATTTTTGTAAATTGATAGTGGGGGGGATCATGTACACATCAGACATATCAATGTATTCTAAAATCATATAATAAATAATGTTTATTATAGACCTTTCAAATACCTTCCAGGCAATACATGTATGAGTTTAGTAATATTCAAAATATCTGGAGGATCTGCAATGTTGGTGTTTTGACTGTTTATGTACATAGTTGTGAGTCTAATTTGTTTGTGCACTGTAACTTTGAAACTAGATGTAAACCTTGTACTAGCTTTAGCTTCATAGCCATATTATTATCACTTAAAGCATTAACATCTTTAAAACATGCCAGTCTGGCGTCTGTTGTGGAGAGGTTAGGCGCTTCACCGTCACACGAAGCAGACCTGAGTTCGATTTCCGTGTGGGGAGAATTTTGATCGAATATCTGGAACTTTTTGCTCTGCTCCTCTGAGCCTGGATTGACCCTGACAGACTTAGTTGAAACCCGCCTCTAAAATGATCTAGTTTGTGTAGACGGGTGTAATTTTTTTTTGACTGTTGCGAAAAAAACGTATATAAAAAAACCTCCGAAACAAACACCCCCAGGAACATTGTATAATAAATTATACGAACTGGTGTATACATTCAATATACTAGATCCTTTCTATCCATGCCTTAAAACAAAACGGGATATTTCTCTGATCTGTCATTGCTAAGGTGTCTCAGGCGCTAGTTATTTTTGTATGTTGTTGTTATACATTTTGAGTTGTGATACACAATATCTATCAGACAATTTCCTGCATATGTGAGGCAGCGTGGTGGAATGAGGCTCTCGTCAATTTTTGGGCATGTAGAGTTATTGGTCTCATCTTAAAGCTTGTTCATTTGTCTTTATTTGGATGACAAAAATATCCATTTATCTTGAATACAAGTCGAGATATTTGCAAAAGAAGGAGGTGGGGGTCACCTGTTTTCAGAGGCAAAATAATTGACAAAATGGCCGCGAAAGACTAGTTATTTCCTTAGCTTAAGAGTCCGTGGTAACTGAAAATTTACTTTTTTGTGCCTTTAATCAACGTTTTTGAGAAAAATCCGCACAAAAATGAGTTCTTTAATGGGCATGAAATGTGTTGAGCCAAAAAACAAAAATTTGATAACAATTCACAAACGTGCGGAAAAATGCAAGTTTCTTCACTTTGATTATTTTGACGAGAGCCTGATTCAACTACGCTGCCTCACATATTATCACTGCGTTTACACTCTTTCATTGAGGATACAGAAAAAAGTCTACTAAATGCTGACAGGATCAGCTATATTATTGAAATCTTGACAATATTTCAACAAATTACATTTCGCATAACAAAGAGGGGATGCTACGATTTTATTTAGAAAAAAGGTATTAGTGTTTGAGAAAGAAAGGAAACAAAGATTTTTGTCAAAGTCAATGAGCGCGCTCATATGACCTTAGCAGTTGCGAGCGCCGTAAAACCCTATACTACTACTACTACTAAAGTTAATGAAGCATCTTCAAATTGCTATTGGATTTCTGAGAATTTTAAAGAAATTGGCATAGTCGGGTAGTAGTAATAAATCTTTACCATGTCTGCAATAATTATGGTGCATTTATTGTCGTTGATCATGTCTACCTTCAATGTAGAAATCATTTGTATCATGACGCGGTGGAATCAGGCGCTCGTCAAATATAGATTAAGAAAAGTTATTGGTTATCATGTTAAAGGTTGTTCATTGTCATGCTTTTAATGAAAGAAATCAGACCAAAGGGCAAGAACCCAAACGGCCGCTGGATCGGAAAAGGAAAGTAAAAGTAAAGTAATGAAAGAAATATCCAGTTATCTTGAATACAAGTCGAGATATTTGTGATTGAAGGAGATAGAGCTCGCCTGGTTTCAGAGGTAAAAGTAGTGGGAATTGGATGTCAAAGTTTAGTTATTTCTTTAGCTTGAGAGAACATTGAAACAGAAAATTTACACATTTTGTGCTTTTCATCAACACTTTTCAGTGCTATCCAAACAGGAATGTGTTCTATTTTGGACATGGAAGGTGTTGAGCCGAAAATAAATTCCACAAAAATTCCCACACCTGCAGAAAAATGCCAATTTCTTCAGTTTCATTATTTTGAGGAGTACCTGATTTCACCACATAATCAATGCCTTTGTTTTTTAAAATTATTATTATGTTTTCTCTGTATAAGGTGTTGTTGGTCATTTTATATAAATCTTCCCTCTAAATGTGCCGTTGTTCATCAGTTAGGTTTTATCTGAAAGAAAAAAACCCAACCCGCCTTTGTTTATAGTGAGTAATTGACAAGTGCTCTGATCTGGTGTGGTTTATTCTTTCTTTCCTATAATAATAATAATAATAGATAGATAGCATTTGTATAGCGCATATCCCCGCTCAACAGCAGGCTCTATGCGCTTTACACTATATTATTACCCCAGCAAACCATAGAACACTCCGAAACATTCTCAGCTTCCCGGGAAGCATACAGTGCGAGCAGCCGATTAAGCGCTCAAACACTAACAAACTGACAAGATCTTTCGCTGTCTATAGCCGGGCACCCATTCCCACCTGGGTGAGGTGAGGAAAATTCGTGTAAAGTGCCTTTCCCAAGGACACAACGTCGGGTCCTATCACACATCTATCGTCTTTCCGCCTCTCTTCCTTTTTGTTGCATATTACTCTGTGGTAAAAACCTGTAACCTTCGGTGTTTATAACAATATGACATCTTTGTATCGCAAGTGCCGTAAAATTCTGACTAAAACCAATACTCTCTATGTCTTACGAGTATTGCTGCTCTTTAAAGCACCTTACACGTTCTGTAAAACCCTTACTAAAACTGCACCCGTTTTTCCGTGCACCTTACAAGTATGTCGTAAAACTGTTGCTAAAACTGAACTCTTTCTTCCTTACAACACCTTACAAGTGCTATAAAACTCTTACTAAAACTAAACTCGAGGAGTCCCACAGCACCTTACAAATGCTGTAAATTTCTGACTAAAAATGAACTCGTTATTCCGTACACCTTACAAGTGCCGTAAAATTCTTCATCATCGTCATTGCCTTTCTCACCCTGGGTCAGGATAGAGGCCACGGACAAACACTCTCCACCTTTCCCTATCCTGGGCTAGTCGCTTGATATCACTCCACGTCTTCTCACTTTTCTGTACATCCATTTCCGTGACTCTTCTCCAGGTTCTACGAGGTCTTCCCCTTGATCTTTTACCCTGTGGGTTCCAATCTAACACTTTTCTTGTTATGCAGCTGCTTGACTTCCTGAGAGTGTGTCCAATCCATCGCCAACGTCTTCTTCCCACCTCATCTCTGACTGAGCTCTGTCCGGTTCTTCTTAATACTTCCTCGTTGGTGATTCTGTCTGTCCATTTGATCTTCAGTAGCTTCCTCAGACACTTGTTTAAGAAAACCTGGATCCTCTTTATACACGTCCTGGGATACGTTCCACGTCTCACATCCATTACAACAAGACTGACTTCACATTTGAGTTGAAAATTCTAAGCTTTGTTCGAAACGAGATATCCCTGGTCCTCCAAATCCTGTTCAAAGAAATAAATGCAGTCTGTGCCTTTCCAATGCGGGACTTTATTTCAGCGCCTGTTCCTCCCTCTCTGTCAATTATACTCCAAAGATAGCAGAAGGATTCGACGTCTTCTAGTGCAATTCCTTGTACTGTGACCTGCCATAAAACTCTTACTCAAACTGAACTCTTTCTTCCTTACGACACCTTACAAGTGTTGTAAAACTCTTACTAAAACTGAACTCTTTCTTCCTTACGACACCTTACAAGTGTTGTAAAACTCTTATTCAAACTGAACTCTATATTCCTTACGACACCTTACAAGTGTTGTAAAACTCTTACTCAAACTGAACTCTTTCTTCCTTACGACACCTTACAAGTGTTGTAAAACTCTTACTCAAACTGAACTCTATATTCCTTACGACACCTTACAAGTGTTGTAAAACTCTTACTCAAACTGAACTCTTTCTTCCTTACGACACCTTACAAGTGTTGTAAAACTCTTACTAAAACTGAACTCTTTCTTCCTTACGACACCTTACAAGTGTTGTAAAACTCTTATTCAAACTGAACTCTATATTCCTTACGACACCTTACAAGTGTTGTAAAACTCTTACTAAAACTGAACTCTTTCTTCCTTACGACACCTTACAAGTGTTGTAAAACTCTTACTCAAACTAAACTCGCTGAGGCCTGCAGGACCGTACAAATGCTGTAAAATTCCTACTAAAACTATAAACACGTTGTTCCTTCTAACTCTTTACAAGTGCTGTAAAACTCTTACTAAAACTAAACTCGCTGAGGCCTACGGCACCTTACAAAAGCTGTAAAATTCTTACTAAAACTAGTGCCGTGAAGCCTCAACTGAAACTAAACTAACTAAACTCGTTACAAGTGCTGTAAAACTCTTGCTAAAACCAAACTCTTTCTTTCTCCATGACCAATGTACGTATTATGTCTTCACCACCGTAAAAAGGTGCCGCTGGAACTGCGAAACCAAGCTTGTAGCCACAGACCGCACAGTCCTGGACCCTGTCATCTCGTGCCCAACTTGCACAGACCAGGAACTGCTCGATACAGACTACACTTGGTCTATTGTGAAGACAGACATTGGCACCAGGGTCTCTACTGAAATACCTCCCGACCACTGGGACCAGTTAATTGCTTCAAGTGAGTGTTTTCGTGGTTATGAGAATGATGATTCCGGCTTGTGGGTTCCCGGGTACGGGCGACTGGCCTGGATCTTGTGCAACTGGCATAGGGGGACATAGTTTAATGACAATGATGATGATGATGATGATGATGATGACGATGATGATGAGGATGATAATGATGATGATGATGATGTTGATGATGATGATGATGATGATGATGATGATGATGATGATGATGATGATGATGACGATGATGATGATGATGATCGCACTGACAAATTTGTGAAAAGACAAAAAAAATGGTATATAGTGTGAAACTGAGCAACCGGTCTCCCTATTTGAACTACTTTTCAACAATGTTTTTTTGAGATGGTGATATTGATGACCATGAAGACAAGTTGACATAAGTCTGTACTTCTAAATAAACAAAGGCCAACAGCCACTCATCGATGACAAAAGATTTATATTACTTTACTTTACTTTATCAGTCCACTAGTACCTCTAGGACGTCGAGGGGAGAAAGAGCTTCCTGTCTCTAGCAAGTTTGATGGCCTGGCTGGGTGGGATATTGAATGTTCTCAGGGTATCCTTCACACCCAGGATCCAGGTCTTTCTTGGTCTTCCCCCTACCCTGTACCCTTACATGTGGGTGACCTTTTTCGTTTCCTGGTCGTTTTCCGTTTTGGTCAGTCCGTTTCTTTCCCCTATGACTTTGTAGAGCATTAAACAATCCGTCGCCGGCTTGCTGGGCCTGTCGTGGTTTCACCTTTGCCCCGTTAGCCGGACGTTTCAGGGTGACCCTGGGGGGTCTTCATGGGTAGCAGTCATGTAAGTAAACCCCACGCCAAAAGATTGATATTATCAAAACAAAAACAATGTAAAAATTTAAAGAAACAACGAATTCGAGTCTCCGATGCCAATCATTTTTAGTTCTTTTTATTGTTGTTGCTGGGGGGCTGATTCTTTTCATAGTTAGCTTTGTTAATGGCGTTGGTCATTTCCGTATGAATCGGGTGAAATTTTCTACGGTACGTTTATATTATTGTAAGGCATGACATTTTCCCCAGATTTTCCCATGAGACAACACTCTATTTTTTCTTTTATAATTGTTTAAAAAATATAGGACTACGCATCTTTCCATAATAATAATAATATAATGATTTTTACCAAAAATACTGTGCTATACTTTTAACTATTATTATTGTTATCCAAAATGCAGCCCTTTACTTTTACCCATATAAATCGTGACCTCAGTGCTTTCCTGTCGTATCTCCATTTTTAGTAACAGTGAAAATAGTTCATAACAAAAAGTGAGCTTAAGAAGAAGTCACATTTTCACTGTTTTAAAAAAAATGGAGATACGGAAAGAAAGCACTGAGATCCCGAATTATTACGCAAAAATCCAGTGGTGTTTGTAGTCTTTATTTCTGTTATGATTCTTACAAACTATCAACTTTTCTTCTTTACCTGGCCCCTCTCTCCAGCGTACAAAACCAAGATATTTGAGTCAGAGGGCGGCTGGTGGCAGGCTGGCTACAGCTACACGCTCACCCTGGAGGTGAAGGTCGGCACGAAGCCAGCCGCGAGGTCGTCGCACACGTTTTACACCAACCAGCCTCCTTATGGCGGGAGCTGCAGCGTGGCGCCGGCAGAGGGTGAGTCGTCCAGGGGGAAATTATGAACAGCTCACAGTAGCTTGTGCAGATTATCTGGAGGGGCAGAAGATATTCGGAGACGTCTCTGGCGAGCACCCAGGAACAATCTGGAGACGTCTGCGAGCACCCAGGAACAATTTGGAGACGTCTCCGGCGAGCACCCTGGAGCTATTCGGAGAAGTACTCCTGCACTCAGATGCACTGCTTTTGGGGGTCAAACTGTGTATTGTTTGCTGCAGATCACACATATAGCCACTAAAACTGTCGTATATCAACTATTTTGAAGAAAATTTCAAACCGGACTGCAAATTATCAAATTATGGGTTACAACAAGTGGGGGAGAGGGGGGGCTGTCTATCTTGCCCTTTATAGGCCATCAACAACATTTTTGCAGCGAAGCCTGTCCTGTGCATCCTTTCTAGCTGTTTCCATGATGTCCCCGCCTTTTCTATTTCCGCTGGTACCGCTTGCCTGTAACCCCCCCCCCTGATTTTTTTTACTTAGTCCAGAGGCACAAAGCATTTTGATAGGTCTATCTCCGTCGGAGACGTCTCCGGGTAGATACTGTGACCCGGAGGTGTCATCTCTGACTCAGAGGTTGACGTGTAATGACCCTCCATCTTTCACAGTCGCGAGGTGCCTTTGCACATTCTTCCATAATATTATCCAGTCCAGTCCATGTTTTTTATGTTGTCAATGATTGCATCTGAGAAGGAAAGGAAACAAAGATTTTTGACAAAGTCAGTGGGGCATGTTCAAAATTTCAACTAGATTTGAGAGGATTTCTTTTTTTTTTCGTTGGCAAAGTCTAGAATAGTATAAGATCTTCAACATTACTAAAAATAACTTACTTAACTTGACTTTTACTTGACTTTTTCATCCTCTGTTGCCGTTAAGCGTCGAGTGGAGATACAGTTTTTTTATGGTAGGCCAGCTCTGCATCTCTCTCAGTTGTGATATTATGTTTTCTCAGGGTTTCCTTGACTCCCTCAATCCACCTTTTGTGTGACCTTCCTCTTCCATTATAGCATGAGTGCTTGGTGTTGTAGGCTCCCGAGGCCAGGTGATATACGTAACAGGTGGCCAAACCACTTTATTCTCTGTCTTTCTGTGTAATGCAGGCAGGACGCAATGCCGATAGCTGCTCTTACTTCTTCATTCCTCTGCCTGTCTTGTCTTGTTATTTTAAAGGTTTTGAGGAGACTAAAATTATTATGATGCATTATTGTCGATGTTCACGTACGTTTTCCCTGTAAAAATTGTCTGTGTTCCTTATGTCCACAGCGTAAAAGGAGTCGTTGTTTATTTACGACTTTCGTGTAAAAGTTGTTTTTGTAGTTTGCTGATGGTGTGGTTGTAAAATATCATTTAGAGAACTCTCGTGGTCTAGAGGTTACGGTGTTCGCTTCTCATGCAATAGGTCCCGGGTTCGAATCCGGATAGCGACGGAAAAAGTTATTTTCTAAACCTTTTCTCCTTTCATATCATATCCGGCTCTCTATCCACGTTCTGTCGTCTGCTTTCATCTCCACTTTCTGCCCCCACAGTTTTACTTCCTTTGCCCTCTCGTCTGGGCTCCTTGGCTCCGTATTGCTGTCTTTCAGCCACACCCCTGATCTTGTGGTAAGTAAGATCTACACCTATCCTTGTTGTTTTTATTCCAGCTCGTACAAGCATTGCTGTTGTCAAATGTTATTGATATCTTTTGTTGTTCAAGCAGCACAAAGAATGACGCAGACCAATAGAGAACGAAAGGGAAAAAAAAAAGAAAGAAAGGAAGGCTATTACTGATCAATCAAGACAATAAAATAAAATAAAATCCTTTTATGACTTTTCTATCC